ATGTGCGTGTGTGTGTGTGTGTGTGTGTGTGTGTGTGTGTCTGTGTGTCTGTGTATATATATATACATATATATATATTTTTTTTTTTTTTTTAGTTGTCCAGCTAATTTCTTTCTATTTCTTTAGTAGAGACGGGGTCTTGCTCTTGCTCAGGCTGATCTTGAACTCCTGAGCTCAAACGATCCACCCGCCTCGGCCTCCCAGAGTATTAGGATTACAGGCGTGAGCCACCATGTCCGGCCCACATTGTGGATATTTGAAATATCCACAAGAGGATATTTGAAAATATCCTCTTTTTGTTTGTCCATTATACCTCAATAAAGCTGGGGGAGAGGGAGAGGAGATTTGAGAGACTTGCAGTCACTATAAATTTCCCAGGTGGAGGTACACAAATCAAATTCCTTTGGTGTCATATAAACCTTGACCACAGTCCATCATGTCATCCCATCGTCTGCCACCCTTCACACACACCGAGCTCCAGCCCAACCACTTGGAAGTCCTCACACACTGTAGGTCTTTCTTTAACAATCCCAAGAGTGGCTGAGGTCCAAGAAACCATCCCCACAGTGGAACTCCTGGCTCTAAGAGGTCAAAGCGTAGCATCCAAGAAGGCATCTCCCCTTTGTACAGATGGAAGGCCATCTTTCCCCACCACGCACCTTGATTCCAAGGGCTGTTCCCCCTGAATGAGTTCCAGGAACAGATGCAGATCTCAGAGACAAGTGGGCGCATCCGAGCTACAGATGTGGGGCCTGGCAACTGAACTGACAACTCAAATAGCATCTCACACCAATGAGCCAGGCCAGCTGGTCCATTCCTCTGGCTAAGAGTACGCCTTAGAAATGTGCCTGCCTTTTAATTTCTGATGTGTCACAATTTACCCTTTTGTTGTTCCGGAACATTCTGGAGCACAGGAGGCTAATCACCCTTCATGGTGTGACATCTGTTTGAGATGACTGAAGGCTCAGGCCCAGAACCTCCCTAAGTCATCCTGAAGACAGCCACACAGTCACAAGATGACAGAGGATGAGGCTTTCTCTTGCAGTGGTTCACAATCAGGAAGAGGAGAAAGACACACTGCTAAGGTTAGTGATATAAACAAACCCTAAAAAGGTAAATATATTTCACTAAAAGTGGAGTACACAATAAGAGCCTTTCCTGAAAAGACTGATGCTCTTGTCGGTGACAGCAAAGCGAGTAGGAAGGCATATGCATTTGTTTTACTCTTTATCCATAGGGCTTCATGAAAGCCAAGTTTCATTTAGGATGTCAGTGCCCCAAAAGAAATAGGAAACAGGTTCGATTCTGCTGCTCATGTTGGTCTGTGTTTAGGAGTCAAAGCATAGAGAACATCAGCCCTTGAGTATCGATCTTGGAGTTGAGGTCAAAGAGAGAATGTTCCAGCCTTTGGAACTCTTCCGTGCCAAAATGGCACCTGCTTCAAAGAGTCACTAGTTGCAAGAACTATTACAGGAGAATATGTAAACTCTGATCCCAATTAGCTTTGTATCTTGTCAACCCAGTGACTGCTCTGAACCTAAAATTCAAAATGAGAACCAGCGATAAAAACTCTTTGTTAAGGGCAGAGCATGTGCCAAGGACTTTACTAGACACTTCAAATACTTAATATTATTTAATTCGCCCAACAGGACTCTAAGGTTAGTGGTTTTATCCCACTTTTTTTTTCTTACAGAAAAAGACACTGGGTCTCAGAAAAGTTAAGGCACGTGCCCAAAACCATGCCACATGTAAGCAGGAGAATCAAGAGTCGAATCCAGTTTTGCACGACTCTGAATCCTGCGCTCAAAATCATGTTGTGCATTCATTCATACCAGGACTCACTTGGGTAGCGAGACTTGCAACACAGGGACAGGAGATGGGAGAACGAACCTCAAACAAGGCTGGTAACAAGGAAGCCTTCATGCTTTGGGAGTGCGGCCAGGCAGGTCCGATCGATGCCTAGAGCTGGACCCTTCCCATGGCCACTCCCGGCCACTATGGAACACTTATAATGGCAGTAGGTCACCACGGCTCTCCATGATCACCTAGCTAACCCCAAGAAAGACGATAAAAAATGCAAGGATCTCCAAGAGAACTGCAAATGCCCAGTTACCCTATGGGGTAATTTTTAACCCAGTAGTTCTCCTTTTTGACGAAGCCAGACTCAAAAAGCTACACACACACACATATATATATATGTAAAATTCCCTGTCCATGTTATTCCAGAAAAAGCAAAACTATAGGTATGGAAAAGTAATCAGTAGTGGCTAGAGGCTGGAGGGTAGGGGTAGGCATTGACTATAAAATGACATAAGAGAACGTTTTAGGGATGATGGAAATGTTTTATTTCCTAATTGTGGTAGCCTTTACATGACTATATGTTTGCCAAAATGCATTGAATTGCACACTTAAAATTGGTAAATTTTACCACCTGTGAATTATGCCTTGTGTATTTTATATTTGTGTGTGTAATTTATTTTTATATTTATGTGTGTAATTTATATTTATAATATAAATATATACGTAAAAGATATATATCTAAATTTCAAACAGGCACTGACTGATGAATCTCGAGCTAAAATTTCCATAGTGTGACTGCATTGCAGTAAACCCAGGAGCCTGAATTCCTCAGCCACTCAAGCTTCCTGGGGAGATTTCCAGCAGGCAGCCGCTGCAGGCTGATAATACCCTACGTCCAGTGGGAAGGAGTTTCGGAAGTGAATTTTTTCAGGCAAATGCTTCTGTAGCAGCTCAAATAAGAAGCCAATCGCTAGGGTTACCTTGGCTCCCTGCCTTGTCTCCTGAATCTTCAGAGGTCACACTGTGTACTTGGTGGGAACATTCATCTGGAAAATTGCCTCGAGCCAGATTAAATATAACATCACTGTTCTTAACTTGTATCTCACATGACGTACATGTCTTTATCTTCATATCTTGTTGTACTTTGAAGGCCATACCTGTCTCTACCCTTAGCCCTGGAAAAGACAGGGAAAAGTCTTGACAGAAATACTAAATATTGTAGCTGCCACCTGGCTCAAAAAGCTTGGCGTGGATTAAAAATGAGCTTTCCAGTAAGACTGACTACATTAGCCTCGTGTATCTGTCCTTCTGACTCTAGGGCACCTTTCCTCCTACACATTCTCTTTGGCTGGGGTCCTCAAACTTTTTAAACAGGGGGCCAGTTCACTGTCCCTCAGACCGTTGGAGAGTGCGCACTGTGGGCCCAGGACGAGTTGGCTGCTAAGCAGGACAGGCGGCGGCGGCAAAAACACCCAGAGGGCCGGATAAATGTCCTAGGCGGGCGGCATGTGGCCTGCAGGCCGTAGTTTGAGAGCACCTGCTCTTTGGTAAAGGTGCTCCTCCTGATATGGCCCCTCTGCTTTCTGCCCGAGACCTCCTGTTTGGGGATGATCCAAAGGCTTCCGGCTCATGTTAATAGCTTAGTTGGAAAAGGAGCATACGCCACATAAAAGTAGTCTAGCATTGGAAATAATCAGATCAGTCATGCGAAGTAATAAGTACATAAGGTCATATCCCAAAAGATAATAGGGCAGTCTCGTACAATAAAAGCTGCCAAGAAGAACAGATTTTAAAGGGAAAGGAAAACTAAAGATCCCGACTTTGGACTCTTAAAAGTTATTGATATTATCTGCTATTAGGTATGTGATCTGCTGGCCACTGGTGTTTGAGGGGGAAGTGCCTCACAGCAAAATATGAACTACCCTGTTATGAGGTTTTGGGGGTTTTTTTTAATTAAAATATAAATAAAACAAAAGATGACTTTTTTAAAGCACATTTTAATCATTCGTTAAAAGGGGCGGAGTAAAGGATTTCGGGAGCCAATCTTACAGACTAGGACTTGAACATCAAAGGAAAATAGACCGGCACCAGATGATAAAGCCATTTAAACACACAGAAGCACACACCCCTGAAAGCTTTTCAGCTACTGCACTGATTTACTAGATACTTTCAATGGCTTTTCTACATCTCTTCCTAGAAAAAAAATAAATTTTCACTTCCTGACAAGTTCCAGGCTTAAACAAAGACAAAAGTTACATAAAACAATTGATATGATTTAAAACAAGTCTCACATATGCTCCAAGGTCTTTATTATATAACCAGAAATGTTGTCATTTTATCACTGCCATCTGATTTTCTTATAGTCTTAGAACCATGTAAATAAAAGTTCCTGATGAGATAAAAGAAAATTAATTTTTTGATCTTATATTTGTTCCATAGAAAACTAGTTAAATTTTTAAAGCAAGTAAGTAGAGAGGGGGTAGGGGGAATTGGTTGGTAAGTCTGATTCTAATCTTCTGAGCTGCCTTTGGAATGAAGTTATGAGGTAGAGGGTTCTACTGACTTTTATGAAGGTGAAAATGAAAGAAAAGAAAAAAAATTGGGTGCCTCATTTTCAGATCCTTCTTGGATTTATTTGCAGTGTACAACTTAATACATAAAAAGGCCTTTCTCCTAAAAACTCAGAGCACTTTACAGATATAATACAAGTATGCCAAATTTACTTATGTGCTATGTATAAAGCATCATTCCATGAGCTGATAAGAAAAACAAAGTTGGAGATTTGGTCGCTCAAGGTGGTCCAGATATTAATCTGACTAATTAAGCCCAGATTCCTTCCAGCATGGAAGAAGTTGCAAGGCTATGCAATTGAGGACCAGTCATTGAGCAATCTCTCCCATGCAAAGAATCCCCAGAAGCCATACTAAGTTCCCTTAAATTCTTTAATTTCCAGATGTCACATTACTGTAGGCTTCATGGAACACATAATGCCTCTAAGACCCCTGAAAATCCCACCCTGGAAAGACCTTGTTTCAGTTGAGAAACACATCCCAAGAGGCAGATGGCTCCTGAGAGAACTCATCAAATCAGGGCAAATACCCTAGGTCTCTAGCATGGTAGAACTATGCACCTAAATATTGCTACTAAACAAACACACTTTTAGATTTCTCTGCAGATATCTAAATAAGGAGAGAAGACTATTTTTTCCAACAAACATTTTATTTCTCTTTCACTCTTACACCTAAACAGCTAACTTCTGGAAGATCAGATCATAATTCAGAAGGTAACCATCGTTATAGACATAAAGTTTATGGTCAAATGGGTGGTAATTAATGCTCTGCACATTTTCTTGCATCTTTTGTATTGTAATGTCTAGCTTGCCCTCTTTCCCTGTGTTTGTGTCATAGTAGTAAAATATCTCTTCTGTTCTGGTGTTCAGAGTACGGGTGGCATAGAGAACCCCACACACCATGAAGGCATTAGAAGCAGATGGTTTATACTGCTTGGTATACCAAGTGTCTAGCACCTCAAGTGTGCTGTCGTTGAGTTTGCTAATCACCATGTTACCAGTGCTGGCTTCAGTTGAATAAATCACCCACAACCCATTCTCATCCACAGCCAAGTCAATATCTTGCCAAGCAACATTAGCATATGAAAAACGGTTATTATAAGCAGCACTAGGGAGAGGTTTAGTCACAGCAACCACGTTGGTGGTCAGGTTAATTTTGGCAATGTTGCCGGTGTTGTACCAGTTCACATACATGCTGTTTTTGTAAACTGCTGTACCACTACCTTGGCCATAGGTAATCCGATTTTGTCGAGCATTTGCATACAATAGCAAGTCATCCAGTGTGTTGTGGAGTCTATAATATTCCAGCTGTCTCGCATCTGTATTCAATGGTGCCACCCAATACAGCCCTTCTCCTGGATGCTGGGGAGAGTAATCCCGACCCCAGGCACCGTACTTGTAAGAAAATCCTCTCCAGTTGAGTTGAACCACAGCCGGTCTGCTGATGTTCACCACACCACCATGACCACAGCTCCCTATACAAACGAGAAAATAAAAGGGCTTTCTTAGAGAAAATGAATGACAGGATACAAACAGTTTAATATCCTAAGAACCAAAGGAATCCATATATATTTTTCTCTCCTGTCAAGGTTCAATGACAACAGCGGTTCTCACGGGGAAGAACCAAAACCTCCGCTGTCAGCCCTACGGAGAACCGCCATCTGCTTCCATGGATGGGCTTGCCGTCAGGAAAATGGGGGTAGTGAAACTGCCGAGAATCATATTTTTAAAAGTTTGAAATATGATAAAAATAAAATAAAATTAATATATAAAAAAAAGTTTGAAGGCCCAGAGAGAAGAAAGAGGGACTTGGTGAATCTAATATATGTTCTGCTACCAGAAAGCGTTTTGCAAATATTACCTTGTTACATTTTTCTCATAGAAAAATCAAGAAAGCAAGATGATTTCAGAATCCTATCCTATTTCCATTCATCCCACAGGTGCTATTCACCAGGGTCAACCCCAGGGAGAATTGTGCTGAAGGACAAGATTGTCCTGGGCACATCTGCTTGTCCTCCCTCATTCTACCCTTTCCTAGGACCCCAAGTGGACATCCGCGCCAGGTACCAATCCTGCTGTCAGCCATTCTCAGAAGAGGAGGTTTTAAATATAGCACTTTATAGATCCGGAAAGATGGTGGGAGCTATGGTGGGATTTTAGCCTGAGAAGCCATGAAGCTATTTTCGGGCAGCGCTGCCTGCCCTGTGCCCAGTGCTTAGCCCATCACATAAATCCCGTGGCGAACGTCCCGCTGCAGAGTTACGAGGTGACTCCTGCTGTTCATAAGCCATATGCTGCAGTGCCCTAGAATGACAGGCAAGTATTTCATCCTTCCCATTCTGACACTGTCATTGTCACAATGTGCACAATCAAGTGGGACCAGATCCACCGGTCCATTGACTCTGCATTCCCTGAAACCACTTGGGTAAATGACTCAGGCCGGGCAACGGGCCCCTCACATTGCACTACCTCCGAAACATCCGCCAACCCAAAGCGTTTATGAGCTATAAAAGATAAAATAAAATTCTGCCAATATTTTTGTAATAACTATCCAGAGAGTGAACACACATTTTCTAGGGTCTTAATAAATACTCTTTCAAAAACTGATGAGATAGTTTACTGGGTAACAAAGAAAATCCAACTTCAAGTCCATTTGTGGTCATTTCCCCTTTATGCTGCTGCTTAGAGCAGAGCAGATGAGATGAGGAAGGAGCAGAATGTGAACTGCTGGATCTGGTATCAAATGCTTGGCAGGAATCAAAGAGCCATAAAGACACAGAAGGTGAGCTGGAGCTGAAAGCAGAGTTCCAAAGGGTTGCCGGAGATTAGCACCGTGCGGGGTAAGGGGGGCAAAGCCTTAGTCTCTGAGTCTCTGCTGTGTCCAGCGTGGAAAGACCCATTGCTTTTCTTGCTAAACACTTCCCCTCTCCACCCTCCTCACTCAAGGACTGCTCAAAGGTGAAACCATTACTAGAAATTCTGTTTTATTTTTCCAATCTGCTGGGGCTTTTTGGTCCCCGAATTAAATACATGCTTCTTAAATGCTCTCATAAATCCACAGTTGGTGAGAAAGCCAGCCAACCATACAACAGGTAGAGAAATGAAACCACTCTGTACCCAACCTCAAATAATTTTGCATATCATTAAGCAGAACACAGTCGCGGGTTTATTTTAATAATGTATGTGCCATTTCATAAATAAAAAAGCAACGTGTGTTCAGCCAAGAGACTGCTCTCCACTAAAGAAATAATAAATAAAATTATAAATTATTATTTCTTCTACTAAAAGTGATCTCTCAGATGAATGCTTGTTTGCTTTTGTTTATGAAACAATGCATGAATTATTAAAATGAAGTTAGCGGTGTGTTCAGTTTAATGATAACAAAAACTGTTCAAGTTTCCATATGCTACAAACTGGATTTTCTAGCTAAAATTTCTTCCCAAAAACTTATTTATTCAACTACACGTCACTCTGAGGAAAGTCACTTTTTTTTCCCTTCAGATTAGAAGACATAAGGGATGGTTTGCTTCATTTGAATCTTGCCTTTCTGGAAAGGAAGTATTCCAAACCAACAGCAACAAAATATTTAAGGAAAATTTATGATGCATATAACTTATTCAAGCATTTTCGTGAGGTTAAAGATAAACTATTCTGTCCTGGACGTAGAAATCTTTAGATATGAAGGAAACAAAATAAACTTCTCAAAAATTACTATCACTACTACTATTACTATTATGCTAATAGTATTATTACGATCATTATTAATATTAATAATTATATAGTAATATTATATAATATTATTAACCATAATGGCCCATCATTTCATAAGTTGACCAGAAAATTAAAATTGAACCCATTATAAATATTGAAACTGTATGAAGCTCAAATGTCTATTCCTTACCTCCCAACCTCTCCTAAACACTCTCCTGTTCATTTGTTATCCTCCCTTTACCCTCTGTCCCCTTTCGGCCATTTATAGGGCACTGGCTAGGGTCGAAAGGAAGTGGAAATAGGGACAAGAACTAAGCATTGTTGCCAATACTACACATGTGGCCACAACAGTGGCAAACCAGGGAAAAGGCTATGGCAGACCTCCCCGACTCCTGGCAGCAAACTGAAATCCACAGCCAGCCCACTGCTCCTTAGGGCCCCCATCCCCCACCCCATCTTCACTGAGCTTCTCCCCACTCTCCCTTCTCTCACTCCCTTCCCAGCCCCTTCCTTCATTTCAAGGTCTCAGACACACTTCATCCCCCTCCCACCCTTCCCTTCTCACCTTTACCCTGGCCCTTGGGCAACAACCCATTGCCCAGCCCTGATACAAGAATTCTGAAAGACCAATGAATCATTGTGCATTTTCTGGTGGAAGAGAACACAGCACAGAACTGTCACGAGCAAGAGTACCCTTTTAGCTACTCCATAGGCAAAGAAACAAAAATAGTTTGGTGGTAGTCAGGTAGGAGAGTTGTTGGAACTTCCTTGTACCTCCAGAAATCACAGGTGCACCTCTCTGTCCGAGTGGCTATTGGAAGGCAGCCTGGTGTGGCGAAAATATCACCAGATGGATCCCCGTTCAAATCCTGACTCCAGTACTTACTGTGTATCCTTGAGCAAGTTACTTAACCTTCTGAGCCTCGGTTTCCTCATGTTAAAAGAAAAATAGTAATACCCGCTCTGCAGGACCATTAGGAAGAATATACAGAAGGCATGCAAATGTAACTCAATGCATGGTAATTATCATCATTATAATGACATCATGTTACAACTGCAGGATTACATGGCCGTCTCCTTGCCTGGATAGTGGCCTCTGGAGGTTTCTTTACCCATCCTGATAACCCCCAGTACCCAGAACAGGGCCAGCCACACAATGGTACCAAATTATGTTTGTGGAATAACAAAATGAAAGATTGATCAAATCACCTAACTTCAGCTTAACCTTATTTATAAAACACTAGCCCTCCATCCTGCCCTGCTACATATTTGATTTTTCAAAGGGCCTGTTTTTCACTGCACAGGACATGATAGGAGGAACCTACACAAAGGTAGCCTTGGTTGGCAATCTCTTCATCCTGCAGTTCATTATATAGTGTCATGGTATTCTGAAAAGATATGAGGAAGCCCTAATTGTGAGACTTTAAAATATTCTAATTTGGCTTTTGAAAAGTATCATGATTAGTAGCACTTTTTTAAAGCCAATAATTATATGCCTGCAGAGGAAAATTAATCTTGGATCTATTAATGCACTCTCTCACCTGGGCAACTGAACTTTGTTTGAGCCAAGAGAAGAATATGATTGACTTAGGCAATTAAAATGATCATAATTATAAAATGATTAAGACTAAATTGACTGTGAAGCATTGGATATATGCTACTCAACACTCTACTCTTCTCCAGGCTTGGGATTTTAGCAGGTCACCCCATGTCTTACATACCCCATTCAATCACCAACCACTTACTGAGTGCCTACTGTGTACCAGCACAGAGCCTTGCCAGCATCCGCAAGCAAAACGGTGATCAACCCCCAAGCATTCCTGTCACATTTGGCCTCTATGCAGGCAGTTAGATTCAGAGGAAGAAAACAGAGAGAGACTGAAGTTTTAAGGGGAAAAATAGTTAATGAGTAGAAAGCCAATTATTTTAGATGAGGAAGTTCTATGAAATGAAGCAGAAAAAGGAGTTATTTGTAGCAAAAACCAAATCTAAAGCATATTTTATGCAACCTGAAATACATGTTCTTTTTCTAAGTTCAAGCTGACCACAGGCTTAGCAAACTGTAGCTGCAAGGGAGGGGGCCCAGAAAGCACAGAATTACTTTAGCGCTGAGACTTGCAAATTCGTCTTTTTTTTTTTTGTTCTGTGCAACTCTGCAGTGAAAAAAGCAGACAGGCCAGATTTTAAAGTCCCATAATAGTGAGTAACTTTAATTAAAGTCTCCACAGGCTCACAACTTTGTGGTGCCTGGGGATTTTCCAATTCTGCATTATCAACCAATCCAAACAGAAAGAGAGCAAGTGAAAGAAATTGATTTAAAAACATGACCAAAAGTCAGTTTAATATAAACATCATAAATATAATATGAACAAAGCTGGCGGAGCGCCAGGTGGCTTGGCAGGGATTCAGGTACAGCCAAGGTTGTGGGAAAGTGAGTGGAAATCTGGGTCCAATTTGCTTAAACAACACAGCTGAGCAGGGATGGATCACAAAAGCCTAAGTGTGAGGGCCTAGGGGAAAGTTCTGGAAAAAACAATTTAACAACAACAACAACAACAAAAATCCAACAGACTCACTTGCATTGCTCCCTAGACGCTAAGCAAGTGTTTTCTTCCCTACCCTCATCCTTGGGGCCACCCAGCACTGTAGGTCCATCGGAGCTGACCAGGAGAGAAGACCCTTGCATTGCAGCTTCAGCCCTGTCACGAACTGTCTGTGTGGCCTCAGGAAAAGCAGCATCCTGGCCACCCGAGTCCCCTCCTCAGAGACACCATGGGGCCAAGTCAGATGGCCCTGAATGTTAATTTAATTACCTCTTGCTCTACAATGTCCTCATTCTAAGGGATATGTAGAAAATTGTGCCAGAAAAAAAAAAATCTATCAGTTGTCACAACTTCCTCTCCTGCCTCCATGAGCCCCTGTGGCCCAGCTGATCCAGTTCACGTTTCCTACACGTGTCTATACCACTGATCCCAGACCAAACGTAGTCTGAGTTTAGTACAGAGGACAGACAGACTGCGGTCTTCGCTCTAAACCTCCCCTGTATGTCACACTAGGACAGAGTCCTAACTGCAGAGAGAAGGGAAAGAGTCCCCTAAGCAAGACCAAGAGGTTTCTACCTATGACCAGATCTGACTGAAGCTTTGAAGAAACCAGGATCAAGGATCCAGAAAGGCACAGTGACTCTATGATCAAGGATCCAGAAAGGCAAAGTCTAAAAGGAAACAGGAGTGAGGGTTAGAATTAATTATAATAAAAAGGCTGTAGGATTTGATGAAAAGATATGGTTCCCATTCAAGCTGAGATGCTCAGGACCTGCAGAGAAAAGGTCCCCATGACTTTGATGTCTGCAAAGGACAGGGCTGAATGCTGCGGCTGAGAGGCTGCCTTTAGGCCACCTGGAGGGGGGCACTGCAGGGCCCAAGGATCTGGCACTGCTTTTGTTTACAGCAAGGTTTTCACTTCAATTATCATCATTATTAATAACACCTATTGCCAGTATATAAGTGCTGAATACACGGCTCTGAGCTTTCCAAGCATCGGTTCAATCCCAAAGCAACCCCGCAAGGCAGGTACTATTATTCTCCCATTTTACAAATGAGAAGATTAAGGATCTTTTTGCTTCAGCTGAATAGCCAGGAAGTCTTTGGGATTCTAAAGCTACGTATGCTCTGCAACCCTACGTTCTGCGGCCACCATCCTGGGCATGTTTGCAGGTCACCCACCTCCGTGCTGTACGTAAGCCCAAGGAGGATTCATGAGAACGTGACAAGGCATCCCTCACCTCCAGGAACTCTCGGTCCCAGAGGGACAGCAAGACACACCCACGAGAACCTGGAGATGTGGGGGCCATTCCTTCAATCCTTAGGGAATCCCAGGACACACAATATAGCAGGTGCTCAACATGCATTTCAGGAAAGAACAAAGGAAAAATTAAAGATGAGAAAAGAGAGCGGGAAGGAGAGAAGAGAAGGCAGGAGTCTTCAGGGCATAAACCCAACCAAACGGATAAGTGAGCCAATTAGGGCTTATAATTCACAGGAAAGTGGATGCCACACATACATTCCAGAGGCTTCCCCCAGGGCCCTCATAGCTCCTCCATCACCATAGAGGTTTTATTTTTTTCCCCTATTAATAACTGTGAAGGGAATACATGTAACTTGTGGGTTTTGTTCAAATCAACTCATTGTGTGTGCTCTTCCTCTGTCCGCCCCAGAAGAGGAGAGTATGCAGAACTCCTTGTGGAGGGGAGGAGATTTTAAACATGGAAGAGTAAAAACCCAGATCTGCAAGAATCCCATCCTTCTTGCTTCATCATTGCAGCCCAAAATCCCTTCTCCACGGAACTCACACCTCCTTATGGGGGCGGGGAGGGGGTGGGCCTGGCTCAAGCGGTAAAAACATGGAGCACTTACCCGAAGAGGGAGGAGGGGCAGCAGGCGACCCTTGACCTTTGAGGTCCTCACACTCCTTCAGCTTTTTCTTCAGCACGTCAATTTCTCGGCGAATGGCAAGGATATTGTTTTTGTCTAGTGACTCGAGCTTCTCTACCAGGAGGGTCATATTCCTTATCTAAGGAAATAAAAATTCAGAGTGGCTTTATATTATTGTGCGATTTCTTTCATAAACATTCCAGGGCTGCATTCGTCATTTAGTGAAACATTGCTAAGAGAACACACCAGAGATCCTTCTGAATGGTTTCATTTGGAAGAATACATTTCATGGTTTAGCGTGAATGCCTGTCAGATCTCGGGCAGATGTGTGTGACAAGAAGAAAATGGCAAAGATTTTAACAGCTTTAATAATAGAGCTCAGGCTCATTCCAGGCATCCACAAATGTCCATTAAAGTCCATTTCTAATAACCTTCCCCTATAAACTCGTGTTTACTCATGTTGGATTATAATTAAGTTTCTAATGAATAGTGAGAGTCAGAGAAAACTTAAATTCTAAAATATGTAGCCAGAATTCTCTATTATAGCCCATGACATGACTGTGCTAGTAAATTCTTGTTGATATAAATTACCCAACCATAACATTAATGCGATGGTCTTTATCCACAGGTCTTAAAAGGCTTCACTAAAACACATTTACAAGAAATTTCCTAAAAGGGGTTGCCAGTATATGGAGAAGGATTCCAAGAGGGATCAAGGATTAAATGGTGATTCAAAAGGACAAACAGACCTTTTGCAATCAGGTAAATTGTGGATTTCTAGTCCCATGAGGATAAATTCAGAGCAGAGAGGACACCTCATCTAGCTTGGCCATGGACAGTTCTTCAAATTCAAGTTACCTCATCATCTCCTTTCCAGAGAAGTTCAAAGTCCATTTGGTTCTGGGTAAGAATTCTGACCCTTAGCCAATACCTGCCCCTAAGTCAATATATCCCCAATGTGCTTAACTTACTATTCAAAGACAGGCATCCATCTAAAACAGAACATGGGATACACCACGTGGCCATGAGAGAGTAGAGAATTAGCAGTTGGGAGAGAGAGATTCATATCCCAGTCCTAGCACTTGCTTATGGTCACTGAAGAGAATTGATTAGTAATATACTAAGAAGTGAGTTCACTCCTTACCTCCACTTCCAGCTGGTTAACAATTTCTGAGCTTCCAATAAAACTGCCCTTCAGTTGAGTGATCAATTTCTCCATCTCCTTCACTTCCAACTTGATCAGCGCAAAGTCCAGTTCAGTGTAAGAAACAGTATCCTTCTCCATGACCTCGATTCGGGCAGCTAGGTTGAAGAGTTTGTTTTCATACACACTGACTAACCGGACATATTCCTTCACCTGAAAAGGGATCAAAAAGCTCAAGTCAGTTCCCAGAGTGATATCACACTGGTTTCCTCCAGTCCTTGAGGACTATTTGATTCCTGACAATCATTGTGTTTTGTAAAGAGACGGATCAAAAATATATTTAACCAGATTTTTAAAAATCTATCCAAATACAAGTTAAAAAGAACTTGTTACTATTATTGGGGGGAGGTGGATTTTGCACTTACTAAGAATAAACTGTCTTCAGAATCACCATTTGCAGGTGTATTTTAATCTGTATTTTAATGTTTGAAGACATTAGCTCCCCAAACTAAACTGGTTTGAATCAGAGTCTCTTGCTGTCCCTCCACCCTCAATGCACGTACCCTACATGAGGGTTTCTCAGCCTCAGCAATACTGGCATTTGGGGAGGAATTGATATTTCTTGTGGGGCTGTGCTGTGGATTGTAGGATACTAACCAGCACCCCTGGCCTCTAGATGAAAATCCCAACCCAGTTGTGACAACCCAAAACGTCTCTGGACATTGCTAAATGTTTCCTGGGGACAGAATCACCACCACCGCCACCACTCTCCCTCCATTTAGAACCACCGCTCTAAATCTAAGCATTTTCTAGAAGAGGGAGAAAGGCACTAATTAGAATTCCTTCTTTGATCACCATGTACAATGAGTTTTGAGCCCCTCTACCTTTTACAAGTGGCATAAAGATCCAACCCACTACACAATATGTGAGTGTGTGTGCACTGTGAAGTGCACATTTCATTAAGTGCGCCCACATTTATTCCAAGAACTGATTATTGCAATCAGACCTTTAAATTACACATTTGTTGCATATATTTGAATGTCTGATCATTAAGTTAAAATACTTCCAAAAATCCCCTTGGTGGTTTAGTGTATAATTGGAATCTCCAAATGGATATTTTAATAAACACAGTTGGTGGGTTTTTTTTTTTTTTTCTGTGTCTGATCTCTAAAGGAAATGTCATGGCTTTTTTAAGGACCTGCTCATTAAAAGTTTCTGGTTTTACATTCTTTTTAAAAATTCGAACATAAGTGATACTTTGCCCCAAACTACATTAATGTCAAGTAGCTGATCCACCGTGCCTGGATGAATTCAGAGCCAGATGTTGGCCTCTAATCCTTCTAATACCAAAGGCAGCCCTAACTTCTGTCATTTTAGCCCTTCTACTTAACCCCACTGTGCAAATTAGAGTAGACTCATAGGCCACAGACCTAAAGGGCTAGGGCTTCAGGCAGAGAGGATTTTAATGAAAGTTGAAAATACAGCCCTTGGCATTGCTAGTGTATCTCCTCAGGCAACCGATGCTCACTGCCATCAGATGTACCATCACTTGGAGGCTGATGGGGCCGGTGGCATTTTGGTGGATAGGAGAGTTAAAATAAATACGCAGTCGCCCCTCAGTATCCAAGGGGGACTGTTTCCAGGAACACCCCTCCCCCGCCATGGATACCAAAATCCACAGATGCTCAAGTCCCCGGATATAAAATGGCGTGGTCCTTGTATATAACCTAGACATATCCTCCCATACACATTAGATGGTTTCTAGATCACTTATGATGCCTAATACAATGTAAATTCCATGCAAATAGCTGTTAGACTGTATTTTTTTAATTAGTAGTTTTTATTGTTGTATCATCTTTATTGGGCTTTTTTTCTGAACATTTTGAGTGTGAGGTTGATTGAATCCACAGAGGCAGAACTGAAGGAGATGGAGAGCCGACTATATATAAAACCTAACAAGTCCCCCTCAAGAGTACACATAGCTAGAAGGTGGCCAGGTTTCAATTTCTAAAAAATCGGGCATAAAACTTCGCCTATGATAAAAATAAATAAATAAAGTGCCAATCCATTGCAGAAATGGAAGTCTGAGAAATGAATATGCTTGTTGGCATTTGGCTTTGCCAGCTCTTGGAACAAATGAAACACCCTCAGCTTTCCTGGAACATTTTTGGTGGCACATCGCAGCTGTTGTTCTACAAAAATGAGTGATTCAACTGTCATGCTTGCTAAATAGAATGTGGCTCTCCCAGATTCTCAGAGAAAACCAAAGCATAATCTGGAGTTTGCAACCTGCAAGCATGTGTGGTGTGCCTACCCTAGTTCAGCCCCCAGATGAAGAGTCCTTAAAGATCTGTTTGGGAAAAATTGTTGACGTTCTTTCAGCTGACATTTCAAGGAAGCTCACTGGTGTTATTCAGGAAAACTGGAATCATCCATGGGTTACAGAAGGTGGGAAAGAATTTGAGGATGGGCCAGAAAGACTTCACAGTGTGAGCTTTACTAGTTTAAGCAAATTATTAGTATAAACCTTTCCCATGCTTGGATCGGTGTCATTGAGTTGGTGTGACAGTTCTGAGAACATGCCAGCTCTTCCTGGGAGGTGTGGTCTCAGTAGAGGCAGCCCTGCTTGCCCAGGGACGTGTCTAGCACTTAGTGCATTTCTCTTCTTCTAGAAAATGCAGCCATTCACCACAAAATGACCTTTTTCTTTTTCTTTTTTTTTTTTCTTTTTTTTTGAGACAGGGTCTCGCTCTGTCGCCCAGGCTAGAGTGCTCTGACATCAGCCTAGCTCACAGCAACCTCAAACCCCTGGGCTCAAGCAAACCTTCTGCCTCAGCCTCCCCAGTAGCGAGGATGACAGGCGCTCGCCACCACACCAGGCTAATTGTTTCTATTTTTAGTGAGATGGGATCCTGCTCTTGCTCAGGCCGGTCTTGAACTCCTCAGCTCAAGTGATCCTCCCACCTCGGCTTCCCATAGTGCTAGGATTATAGGCATTAGCCACCGCACCTAACCACAAAATGACATTTTAATCAATGACAGACCATATACACTACAGTGGTCCCACAAGATTATAATACCATATTTTTAGTGTACCTTTCTATGTTTAAATATATAGAGATACACAAATACTTACCACTGTGTAACAATTGCCTGCAGTATTCAGTACAGTCACATGCTGTACAGATTTGTAGCCTGGGAGCAATGGGCTATACCATAGAACCTAGGTATGTGGTACCCATCTATGTGTGTGTAAGTACACTATGAACTGTAATGCTCACAGTGACAGAATTAGCTAACAATGCATTTCTCAGAATGCCCCCCGCCTTGGCCTTTAAGTTATGCATGACTGTATTTAGATCTACAGCAGTAGTTCTAAGTGGAAGGTGGGAGTCGGGTGGTGATTTTATCACCAGGGAATATTCAGCAATGTCTAGAGACATTTTAGTTTGTCACATCTTGGGGGTGGGTGGGTGCTACCTGCTTGTAGAGGCCAGGAACACTGCTAAACATTCTAGCAAGAATATGGGTCTAGCCCTGAGGGACACATGCCTGTATGACATCTTTACCTTGAAGCTCCTCATGACTACAGGTTTGAGAGTTAGAAGGTTCATCTATATTTGCTTTTAAACCACCAGTCTAACATTCAGAGCTTCTATTTTATTTTGTGTGTATGCACTTACTATGTTATTGATATAGAATAAAGTTTGTTTGGGGGGTTGTTTTGCAGTGGTTGTTATTGCTTCTTATAATAAATCCCATCTTGTAATAAAAAAGAATGTAGTGCAACTAGCTATTAAGCTAAAGAATTAGTCTGGTTCATGTTTCTGCCAGTCTCTCAAAACTTGTGATCACAACTATGGCCCAGTTATTTGAAATAAGTAAATTTACTTTGCAAAGTATTATTATTTTCAATATATCTTTTTAGATAAATATAACATATAAAGTATTTCGGAGCTTGACCACCTGGGCTCAAATCTGACTTCAGTACTTAGTAGGCCAATCACTTAATTTCTCTAAGCTTTAGTTTCCTGTAAACTATGGGTAATGATATTGGGCTTCTAAGATTATTGCAAACATTAGAGATAATGTACATAGAAAATGGAGACCCTATAAATTACAGAAATTAATAAACACTGATTTCAGTGTTTTTCAGTCTGACCTTTTAATTTACTATATTTCACTGCACAAAACATTGCTCAATCAATGTTGTTTATTTATGGGTTGCTTTAATGTCTCCCAGGCTACCTCAATTTTCTCATGCATGAAAATCTATTAGCAAAAGCGACATATTAAATAACTTGCCCCAAAGACCAAAAGCCTCCAGAGAAAGAGAAAATCCTCAGCTGCCTTTTGTGCCGTCCCCTTCCTAAGTGTAGTCACAAGAGGACATATCATAAACAACAGAAAAGTATAAAATACTCTCAGCATCTTATGCAGAGGCAGCTCCCTGTCTTCTGTGTGTACTGGCAGATAATGAATCAATGTAAGGCAGTCAAAAACCTTTGCTACTGGCCTGCCCTAAATAGGCATTCTCCCAGGCCCCCAGATAAATGATGATTTCCAAGGCAACCTAGGAACAGCTATAATAATTCACCTGGAAATTCAAAAGCCTTCAGCTAAAGAGATAACTTTGGGTTTGAAGGCATTACTGACCTACTGCATCTCTTCTTGAGTCTGCCCAGGAAGATGATAACAGTATAACCAAAAGGAAAGAGACCTGGATTGATGCCGAAGACTAAAATTCCCAAACTGGCTTAACCAGCCAAGAGAGGAATGCTCTTGAGCAAGACCCTTTACTTTTATGAACCTCAGTTTTTCCATCCCTAAAATGGGAAGGGAACTACCCGGCCCATCTGCCTTAAAGGGATGCTTGAGAGGAGAATACAACTGGAAGCATTTGGAAACCCACAAACAAAAGCTGCTACTATTACTGTTGTTATTATCACCTGTCACACCAGATCGATTATATAAATCTCAGCTGGCAAGTCCATTTTCTTCTTAGGCGTCAATCACAAATCTTTTTAGGACCAGCTACTGACACTTTCAGAACTAAAACTTTTCCCACCTACTCTGCACTTCTTCTCTGCCAATTATTAACAAAGCAGATGCTACCTGCCCCCTTGCAGGATCAGAATGAAATGTCCCATATTCACAAACCTGGCAAGCCACACACTCTCCCTGGAGCAGCATGAGGTTTCAAACTGCCCTTCACACTGCTGCTAGCAAAGGCGACATGCAAATCAGAAGCTTCCACTATTTCAAAGCAAATGACTCTAACTGAAAAGATCTTTACCTAGGATTTTCCTCTACTTGTTATGTTTTTATGCATAACTTCTTATCTGTACTTGATTATGCTGGAATAAGGCTATGAATATTAATGTTAGAATTTATAATTTAGCGCTGTGCCTTTTCTGCTGATTAATTCAAGGACATTTTATTTCTTAAGAAGCTAGGTTCCTGGAGTAGTCAAACACATTTTCCTGGGCACTTATTTAAACTTAGAATATTTATCTACCAATTCAGGTTGAAAGTAGGGTCTCAGCCTCACTATAATTTTTCTCTTAAAGGATAACTATGTTGAATGTTGAGGTGGCTTAGCTCAAATTTCTCAGGAAAATTTATTTTGAATCTTGTAGGAAAGCCAGAGCTCCTTGTAAATTAATGGAGTTGTACTAAATAATGTATAATGTGATTATAGCCTAGGTTGGACTTCACCTATGCAGAAAATAGGAGCCTTTTCTAATTGCTTTTTAACTTGGCTAAAAAGGTGGAAGGGGTCAAAACTGGAATGCCAAGTCACATTCTTGCCCCGGCCAGCTCAGAGAAGGGCAAACCCTTTAGGATCATTCCCTCTGGCTGGAGAAAAGCAGTAATCAGAGGGTTCCAGCCAGAGTTTTTACCAAGGCTGAGAAACCTATTAGTCTTGATTCAAATTCCCAGGGAAGCCTTCAATTTTGGTCTAATGTTGGACACATTTAATGTAATGTTCCTGCTGAGACAATAGAGGATAATCACCAAGAAAGAGAGGGAGAGAGGGAAGGAAAAGAGCAAATTATACTAATTAAAGAGGAGGGGGAAAAAGGAAAGAGAGAGAGAGGAAAGGAGGATAAGAGGAAGGAGGTTTGGGGGGAGTGGAAGAGTAGGAAGAGGAAAAAGAGAAGGAGAAAGCATCGTCTAAAAGAGATGTAAGAGAAGACCAAAAAGAGTCCAAAATAAAAGAATTAAAAAGGAAAGGGAAAGAGAGCTTAGAAGGGGTGGAAGAGGGATAGAAAAATGAGTTTCATAAAGGTAAAGAAATCTGTTCCCCTTGAAGCCACAGGAGTAAGAAATGGAAGGAATCGAGAATGGAGTGGAACAGGAATAGAAGAAAAGGTGAAAGAGAAGGGAGACAGAACTAAAGAGCTAGAACTAAAGAGCATAGAAGAGAGGAAAGAAAAGAAAGCAAAGCTGCAGGGAAGATATAGACCAAAAGGAAGAAAAAAAAAAAAACAACAAAATGAAATAAAAAACTGCAGGTTGGGGTTTGCAGGAAGAGCTCAAGGCCTCCTCCCAACTGCATGAGTACCACAATACTCCAGTGAGTTTTTATCCCCGGCATGAGTAATCTTGACCCCATTTTCTCCCTGTGCTCTCATTTTCCCTGCTATAAAGAATTCCGTAGGTGTACTATAAAATAAACGCTAAAACTTCCATAGGATACAAATGTGCTGTCTTTGATACTGTGAAGAGTGGTGGCTCATAAAATCCTAAGTTAAGAAAAGGTTTGTTTTGTTTGTTTGTTCTTATCAAGTTATTGCTGGAAAGGAAAATGCTTACTTTAGAAAGCTCTTTCTCAAACTTCTGAGAAAGAGTGTGAGCTGTGGATTCCAAGCGCTCCACTCTGTCCACGGGAAAGGTGGTATCTGGCAGGAAAATGGAGCACTGGCAGGTCCCACGCTCATCCACGGAGCCGGTGAAATTGGGAAGTGGCTGTAAATAATAAGAAGTTAAACGTCAGTAATAGGCTGAAGACAGAGCTTTTTGGCAACTGGAAAGGCAGAAATTGGTCTTTCAAAAGAATACTTAAAGGCAAGCAAATGGAGTCCGATACATAAATGAATAGAATCATAGAAACAAGCTAAAACTGTGATGTTTTCACAGGTGGTGACCACACATAGCATTCAGCCACCTTTCCACCTGCTGGACTAAACCACCAGGTCAGCAGCCTTTACCACAAGGAAGATTCTCCATTCTTGAGGAGTCCTAAAGGAAATTATTACTGTCTCTATGCAAGTTATATAGGAATAACATCTATTGGGTGTCAGGCAGGTGGGGGGGGGAGGGGATGGGTATATACATACTTAATAATTGCAATGTGCACCAACTGGGGGATGGACACGCTTGAAGCTCTGACTTGAGGGGGAAGGTGGGCAAGGGAAATATATGTAACCTTAACATTTGTACCCCCATAATATGCTGGAAAAAATTAAAAAGGAAAATAAAATAAATGTTATAGATCTATAATACATAAAAAAAGAAGCAATGAGAGTTCCAAGTTTGAATTTTAATTCTAGCTCTCACTAGATGCGAAACCTTCTTAAGTCTCTCCCACATCTGTAAGACAGAGATCAACTGCTTCACAGAGTTGTCCTCAGTAATGTGAGTCAAGTCCCCGCACAGGGCAGGTGATCAGTAGGTGCCACTTTCTCTTTCTTTCTATCATTCATTTTATTTTCTTTACCTTCACCCCAACCCCAATCCTCTTCCTCCCAATCGGAATGAGAAAACAGTCAAGGATGAGGCTACAGTGAAAACGTACAGTGCAAATTCACATGCTCTCTTCACATGGGAAATTGTATAATTAACATCCTTCAAAATGCAAACAAACCAGCCATTTGTTAAAACCTGAACAGTGTGTATGTTTGAACATTTTGTGCAAAATTTTTTAAATAAAATTTGCCAGCTTGCCACTTGCAGAAAAGTCATTTTAAAATATTTGATGTTTCTTTAAGATATTCAGGATCACACTTTGGTGCTGCTGCATATTTTTAAATGACAGGCTGGAAAGATCCTATTTTTCTTTTGTCCCCTTTGAACTTCCCCAAGGGGATCCCGGCACGATTAACATTTTTTTATTACTACTATCGCCTTTCAGAGTGACTCTTGGCAGCTGACTGGCTGTGCCTTTTAATGATCTCATCTGAAGACCAACCCAAAGCTTACCTGTGGAATATCAGCCTGAAGGGACTTTTTATGAAACTGCTAAGGAGAGAGCAATGGTTTTCAGAATTTGAAGAGACTCAGGCCATGCCTCTCAAAGTTCAGGTCAGTTGGCTGCAGCTGAGGTTGTGCGTTCTGTGCATTTAATGTCTACCAAGCTGCATGACTCTTGAACTTGCTGGGCCTAGACACTGCTATAATCAAGACCCATTTTATTAGTGATCTCTCAGCCAATCAAGGCTTCCACAACTAAGTTGGTTTTTTAACCTAAGCTTCTTTAAGATGAGCAGAAAGAAAAATATATATGTGTGCATCCAGAAGTCTCTATATGTATACAGTCAAAATTCCTGACATTGGTCTTAATTTTCTTTTCCAATCACATCCGCACACCTGCAAGAATTGGGGAGTACAGAAGGGAGACAAGCAGGTTTATGCTGAATATAGGGGTACGGGGTGTGGGATTGGATAGGGGAAGGGTCTTTGCCAGGGATGAACAAAGACTGGACAGATATACTAGGAGCCTGTTGGAGAGCCCAGCTTCCCCTGAAACCAGCTATATTTCTTTCTCTAAAGATAGAAAGCCTCCTGCCCAAGCATGCCAAGGCTTTTACGGGAAGGACCAACTTATCATGGACTTTTGAAGAAATAGTTTAGTATAATAACTGTCCAGAAAAAAAATCTTGCATTTCATTTTTGACAAGAGGAGGTTAATTAGCTGCACAAGACAGGGTTGGACCATTCTCAGAGTTCTCTAAAAAGCTCTGCCAACTCAAGAAAGAGTAGATAACATCAAGCAGCCTCTAGACAATCAACTAGGAACCACTGTCTAACAACTTTTAGTCTTGAAGTTCACCTGAAAGACAGGCAAATAATTATGAGCCCTACTGACAGCCATTCCATTGGTTTCTATTGAACATTCTGTGTCAATGCTGTGGACTCCCCGGCTTCCATCCTGCTTATCATCAGCCCGGCATGCTCAGCTGACATCAAAATGGTCCATAAGTTTGATCAGTGTCTCCCATTAGAGATATTTCTGCTCCTCGCATTCAAAGACAATGAAGCTAATGGTGATAAGTCTCTCTCTGCGGTGAATGCTCAAGCTCCACGTGAATATAACGTGGGGGACAGGACGCAGACTAGTGCATGTCCCCTGGCCTTTGGAAGGATATGTGATCCCACTTGTGGAGGGCAAATGGCACCCTGCAGGTCCCACCAGACACCCGGTATGGGCAGGTTCTCATGCAGCATGTTTTCAATTAACATTCGCTGATGTCTATAGTATGCCAGGCTCTGGCATTAGGGAGATGGGTTAAGACCCACTTGCTGCCCAGGACTCAGGCCCACCACCATTACGAAGACCCTAGTGGTTTTTTCAACCAGCCCAGTAGCCTGATGACAAAAGCATGCGACTCGCTATGGTTTCGACTATGCCAGTTGCCAGGCGGAGCGGAGCTTTGAGCCTTTTCCTCATCTGGGAACTGAGAACCCTACAGCAGCCCCTCCTTTGGAGAGTGATATCTGAGGCATGGAGCATGTTCTGAGGGCTTACAGCAGAAGGAGCTGCTCACATTTGTGATTTAAGGTTACAATTGGCTCTAATTAGCAGCCAAGTCTAAGTGCCGGCAAAGATTCAAGGCATAAAATAATGGTACTCCACATTTTCAAAGTACGGAAAATGATACGTTTGGAGCTTGCTCAATGACAGTTATAAAAGGGTTTTTCCACCACTTTCCAAAGAGCTCATCAAGCTGACAACCAGCCCTGGAAAATTAGGTTTATAGCAGAATTGACTCCTAGTCTGCTATTAAAAAAAGAAAAAGTTGGAGTTGTGATAACTGACTCACCAGAGGGAGATAAGTAAACTAGGAAGGAAATTAAAATCTAAGTACAATTTAACTACCATTTCTTATCTACTTTTAGATGTTTGTCTCTTTACCAGACAATAGGCATTTTGGATTTGTCTATTTCTTGACTGTTATATTAATTTATATTATTTCAGCTGATGATCTTACCCAAATGCTGGTTTCTGACTGTGATGAAGCTTCATAATAAATTATTATTGTTAACCTCACTCCAAAAAATAAAAATGCTAACCAATTCTGATCATCCTCAGAAATCATTTAGTATCATGGAATAATTATGCATCTGATTTCTGGCTACAAAGAATCCTTGTGCATATTCATGGTTCTCAAAACTTTCTCCTCTTAAAAATAAGCAATTTTCATCTCTACTCCCTGGAAATAAAGAAATCTGCATATAGAGAGATAGTGATGACAATGAATAGATTAATTTTGAGCTATATAACTTGCTTTAGTGACTTTAACCCAATGAGTTTATCTTGCTAAGCCTTAGTTTTCACATCTCTAAAATGGGACCATTAATTTCCCTATGTCTTGGGTTAGAATAAGATATATATATTCGTGTACTGTAATTATCCTGGCAATTATTAGACAGCACCAGTAAATATCATTGGCCGTGTGTTTTCTATCTAGCCCTATCAAAACATTTTAGATCACCCAAATTTTTGTTGTATATTTATAGCTTCTTGATGGTGAAATGAAAACAACCAAAGCCTTTTCTCCTTTTTCATTCACTCCATTCAGACATGTCAGGTAAGCAGCTACCTGACCTGTGAGTAAAGATTCTAAAGTACGGGATTAAGATGTTAAGATTCCCCATCCAAGTCATCCTTAGCAAGGATAGCCCAGAGGTTTTGCAGAGGCGGGACTTACGGCGAAAGGCCCATGGGTTGAAGTGCTACGCTGCTTCTTGCCGCCAACCTCTCACTCTCTCCAAGCCTATTCCCACTGCTTTAAGGGCGATGGGAGAGACATCAGCCAAGGACTGGGCCTCATTATGCCTCTGTTACTCAGCCTGGCTGGGCTGGTCCCTTTGTAATGCATGACTTTTTGGTTTGTTGTTGTGTTTAGAGCTGAAATGGCCTAAACATTCCCTATAAAGAAGATTGAAAAGAGTTAACACTCCCTGAAATGTTCACTTTCCTAAAGACCAATAAGTCTCCCCTTATTCTGACACCCATCTCCTACAAACTACAAGGAGACTGTCAGGCTCCAACTAGAGCATCACGGCTCTCTCTCACTCCCTTGAGGCCACTGTTCAGCAGTCGCAGGGTCCCTGGCTCGGGCAAATCAACTGGACAAACTTTCCTGGACCTGCTAGTAGAGCAGGCGGCCCCTTCCCAAGAGTTCTATTCCAGGCTGCAGATTAGAATCACCTGGGAAGAGGTTTTTAAAATATCTGATTTTTACGTAACGAACTGATAAATGCATGAGGTGATGGATACCCTGGTTACCCTGATTTGGTTATGTTGCACATAGTCTGCCTGTATCAAAACACACATGCACCATAATATATACAACTATATATACCCATAATAATTTAAAATCTTAAAAAGAATTAATCTGATTTTTAAAATCTATGCAAGATGGTTTTTTTAAAGTACAGAACTCATAAATCTGTTACTTCAGAGTACCCCTCACCACTATTCTAACATGCAGCCAGGTTTGAGAACTCTCTTTAAGGCATAGATTCTTTCTCAAAAGCTCCCCAGCTGGAGAAATGAGAGGTTGTCTCCCTTGCTCACAATTTAATTATTTCACCTAGGTTTTAATTCATTTCCAGGGCACCTATATTTAACGAAAGTGGTAAAATCTTATAGCGTGCCCAGGTCTAGCCATCTGTGAAATTGTATTCAGGTCCCCAAAAGCGAGAGGAAGGAATGAACCAGCTCACTGGGACTCTGGGGTCTCCTCACCTGGGATGGGACGATTCGCTGGCCAAGGACGTGGGGCTGGAGCTGTACTCAGAGTTCACGGAGGGGCTGTAGCCAGGGGTTGGGACCAAATCCTCCGAGTCCCCTGCAGCCTGGCCCAGGAAGAGCAGAAGGGCTAGAAGACAGTGGTGGCCCAGCCTCATCTTGTCCTCTGGGCGGGAGCCGGGCTCTGCAAGGAGCCCAGGGGCTTCTTATAGTGCCCGGCAGGGATTTCCCCACGGCCAGGGCGTGGGGAAAGAGGAAGTGGCCAGGGAACGTGTGACCCACCCAGGAGGGTCAGAGCACCCAGGAACCTGAGTCACTGCCCACGCCTTGTTCCTGAGCCCGGCTCTGTGAGCTGCCCCTGGCTCCAGATATGTCCTGCCAAATATTAACTCAAATGTGCTTTTGGAAGCCCAGTGACTGGTTTCCAACTTGGTACTTCCTTGAAAGAGGGGGGATCAAAATAGTCTTTGTGGATGAGACAGAGTTTGGAGGCGCCAGTGGGGAAAAGCAGCCTTCAGTCCTTAGCCTAGAATCTGCCTCTAGTTGTTCTCCCCCACATTGCTGAATGCTACTTTCCAGAGAAAGCTAGGAAACTCACAGCAGAGACCATGGGTGTCCCCTGGGAGTGTCTGCAGCTTCCCTCCCACTTGTGCCTTGCAGTGGCTGCTGCTAGACCAAGTTCTCTCAACAACCCCACTGTGAAAGAGAGACCTGCAACACCAGACGGTATTCTGCATTATCGAGCACTCGCCACGGTCTGCTTGTTGTAGGGGACAGAAAGAACCCAGACAAACGAGGGCCCTCAGATGACCTAGTGCCGGCTTTCCCAGGCCAGGGTGCTGCTGTAGACCCCAGGAGCAGTTTCTCTGTCCAGCAGACTCTGTCTGCCCTCCCTTGCTCCGGACTCTCATGTGAGCGGGCCAGGCACTCAGGATCTCAGGGTTTATTCTTCATAAAACTAAAACATAGGATGCAGCTCCCCCACCCAGCTCCCTGACCCTGGGCATCAGGATCCCTTCTCCCATCTCCAACGGTTCACACACCTTCATGACCTCCACTTTCCTCCACGTGGAGTGGAAAAAGTATTGGCCCAAAGAGTAAAACCCAGCTCTGTCACTCGAGTCCATGGCCTTCCACATGTCACCGAGCCCTGCTAGGGTTGTAACAATTCCTAAATGGTTAGAAGTAAAGGAAATATTATATGGGAATTTGCTTAGAAGCTTTGAAGAGCTATACAAATGTCAGCTTCTTCGTTTTTTGTTGAATTTCCTAAAGCCTGGATCAGTTTGTCAGATTATTGGGTTCAAAACAGGGAAAGAAGTCCCACGTCTCCCACGCCATCCCCACCCCACCCCGGGAGCGCCACGCAAACTCTCAGAATAAACACGGTGCTGAGGTGAGAAACAGAGTCTTAAACCCTTGGTGTGCTATTCAGGTCTGCTCGGATATTCGTGGGGACACAGCCAGGCAGGGGCAGCAAAAATGCAAATGGAGGAATAGAGAGTGGAGAAAGGAGAACATAAGGAGGGGAAGGCAGGCAAGTCTGTGTCTCTTAGGTGCAGCCAAGGCACACTGGGGCTGCCCTGAACTGCCCCTGACTGCCCCCTGCCTAGACCAGTCTCCCCAGCTTTAGGGTCTACATTGCCTGGGCCACCCAGGCTGTCATTGCTGCCTTCCCCACCCTCCACATTGAAACTACCTGTTGAGCCACTCAAGTGTGTTTTCTCAGGCCAGTCATGCCCATTTCATGTGGATGTGGGGATTCGGGGCAGTTAGAGGAGAACCAGGAAGGACAGGAATATTTTCCCAGAAGCTTTCTGGAAACAACGGGCTCCACCTCCATTATCTGCTCCGAAGGCAATCTGTAGTCAAGACAGGTCTGCAACAGGCGATCCATGGCCAGCTGTTAGGGGGTATGAGGTGTATTTTCAAGCCCCTACTCTCATTCAGCCCTATGTAGGGTTGCCAGATTTAGCGACACCCAGTTTCAACTTGCATTTCAGATAAAGAACCCAATATAATATTTTTTTAGTGTAAGTATGTCCCATGCAATAATTGGGACATACTTATACTAAAATAGTTCTATGTTGTTTTATTTAACATTCCAATTGAACTAGATGGCCTGTATTTTATCTGGAAACCCTATTATGGAAGCAGAATATGTGCTGTGAAGTTTATTGTTCCCAATGGGAAGCAATTTAGCCTTGGCCATTTGTGGCCAAGTGTTCTAGCCACTTAGATGTCTGGTTCAAGGCAGGGAACACATAAAGCATGTGCACTGGATCCATGATTCTGAGACTGAAATCTGTGAACATGGACATAAGAGGGAGAGGGTGTCTCTACCTCCCATCGCAATTTCCCTTCCTCCTTCTGTTTCCCACCAAAGCAAAGGGCAAAATCTGTTCTCATTTGCTAGTAGCCTCTGCCTGTGGCTATAATGAACCTTCTTTGTCCCTTTTCTCAAGGAGCATGTTGGTGCCCTTGTCAGGAGGAAAAAAAAATCTCATTAACAATGGTAGCCGGCAGTCACAACTACCCTTAAAGGCTTCTATGGCCAATCCTTTAGAAGACCCCTTACCAGAAGGGTTGCATTCCTGCAAAAATGAGGCAGCAATTCTCCCAAGCACAAAGTGGCTTAGCCAGGAAAGAACTACCAGCTCCCACTGTGCTCGTAAGCTGATTTGTTCCTGTATGCCTCCAGAGTTTCCAGAATAAAACTGTAATCTATTTGGTATCCTCAAATTCACAAAGGCATTGGTGATGCCTTAGTAATGAGATTATTAGTAATAATAGTTTGATCAGTTTCTCTGCAAATACCTTTGTCCTGAGAATCAAGCAGCCTCCTGGTTATTTGACAGCCTCCAAGACAGGAGAAAATTATCAGAGCTGCAAAGCAAGCAGTGTATTATTTGTAAAAAAAAAAAAATGTGTTCAGACCCTGGGCTCCCTTTAGAGTAAAGGGGTCACTGAAACTCACTTGAGTAAGACAGCATTCCTCACTGACAGCTTGAAAGAAATCTGCTATTTGTGCACTTCATTAGGGGAACTCCCCAAAGCTGTACTTCTTGAACAGTTGCAACACACAAGGAAGATATCCACAAAGATATAGCCTTAATTTAATCCTCCTGTCATTAAAAACCAATGTCAAACACACTGGTTTTCAGAAGAGAATGTCTCTAGGGTCTCTGGTGTATACAAGGACAATGGAGGCTGTGTTTAGTCTACATAGAATCCACAAGAGAGGCTTTCTATGTCAGTTGACTTCGTCCTCAACAACCCTCAAATCTCTATTAGCAATACCGGTAATCATGTGTAAAAGTGACAGTCCACTGACACCACCTGGAAAGTGGTCTTTCAGTTAACAATGTGCATTAGAGCCTACTGTGTGCAAAATAGCAGGCCCTACGATGTGTTATAAAGAAAGAAAAAGGCAGAATTTTTGCTAATGGATATTAGCACTCCAGGAAGTGTACTTGGAATATAAACAATAAATTGAACACAAAACCAATTACATGAATACTGAGAGATGACTGGATAGACTATGGTGACCCAGCCCAGGTGGGTTAAAGTGTGAGAATTCACCAGGCGGTGAGATTCTTGAGGATAAACCATAGCTTCCTTGGTTGTGAATCTCCACCATCTAGCCCGGTGCTTGGCACATGGTGTCCAATATACATTTGTACAACAAGCAATATATTTAGTAAATGAACAAAATCATACATGCATGCATGAAGGAAGGAATGGGTTGCTTTAATAAGAATTGTGAATGAAATTCTTAAATAACTATTGGAGAAAATACTTGTTTTTTAAATTAGTGTTGGAGAAAGGGAGTGAGTTCCAAGCAAGAGAAATTGCACAAACAAAACAACTCAGGCAACCTGAATTCTCTCCAGGGCCGTGATTACGCCCATGTCCCTGCAGTCTCACATAGCCCACCCTGGCAACTCATCCTTGGATTACAATTCCCAAGTTGTTCTTCAGCCTGACCCAAACCCTATCAACATCCTAATTCCCTAAGCATATCCTATATCAACATCCTAATTCCCTAAGCATATTCTATATCAGGAACTACCAAGATTTAGCCATCTCATCATGGTTTAGTAGATTCAAACCCCAAATTACAGAACTTTTAGCCAAATACTTATGTTTTTAATCTGCAGCAAAATCATCCATGTTGATAAAATTCAGAACCAAACTAGTATTATAAAAAGGGCAACTAATGAGCAACTAAGGGCAAACTTCTGTGCAAATGTTGAAAGGCAAGAACAACAGGAGTGTTGAAAGGTAGCATATACTCATTTTTTTTTAGGAAAAAAAAAATCTTTATACCCTTCACAGAGGAAGTTTGGACTAATGAGCCATAACAGTGATCAAAAATATATCCATCAGTCAAGAAACACCCGCCACCATTGCCAGGGGTAAATGGACTCAGGAGACATCAAACCTCAGGTTAATCTTTGGACTCCACTAGATAGAATCTGCCCAGAGACCTAGACCAGAGTCTGCCCTCTAAATTCCTCTTGTTGTTTCCTGACTACCGCATCGAGGCTTATCTTCACTTCACCCCACATCAACATCTGAGTTTTCCATATCTCTTGGCTACTGTAAATCACACAATTGCCCCTCAAAGGCCGGATAAGTCGGTTTCTCCAACCAGAAGTGAAGAGCTTCCTCTTCTTCCTCACCTGCCCCATTGTAGAAGCCTCTACTGGCCTCACACCATCCCCCCCCAACCCAAGTTTTAGTATCCAGGTTCCCAGTGAGACCGGTCTTCTCCCTAGTTAGTTGCACATGTCCAGCCCCCTATACCTCTCACCATGAGAAAAAGGCAAACTCTTTCTGCATCTACGGGATGTTGTCACCTGAAATTCAATTCATTGTCACCTGCAACTACCCAGCATTTTCAGATTTAGCCATAACTTGTACTTTTCTATTTCCATTACTTCTCTGCTCTGATCTTCTCAAATCCTGGGTTACAGGGACTAGATGTTTGTGTCCCTCCCCACCAAAATTCAAGGTTGAGACCTTAATCCCCATGTGATAGTATTAGGAAATGGGGACTTTAGGAGGTGATTAGATCATGAGGTGACACCCTCATGAGGGAATTGATACCTTTATGAAAACAACACCAAAAAGCTTTTCTGCCCTCTTTCCTTCATGTGAGGAAAAGTCAGTCTGCAACATGGAAGATGTCCTTCACTAGAACCTGGACAGGTTAACACCCTGGTCTCAGACTGCCAGGCTCCAGAACTATCAGAAATAAATTTCTGTTGTTAATAAGCCACCCAATCTATCGTGCTTTGTTTTAACAGCCCAAACTAAGATACCCTTTA